CTGATTGAACTGCGTTCGGGAATGACATTCCTCGACTTCGCTGTCAAGCATGTTGAGGTGATGTTCCTCACTGCTTTCATTGTTAATTTGCACACTGTCCTGTTGTGATGCTCAGCAGAGACTTATACACTTTCAAAATACCGAAACATTCCTGTTTAGCTGCTTAATTACTTTTTGATACCATTTTTTCAAATTTTAGTAAATTAAATAATCATAAGAAATGACGAATTTCGACAGGAAAAATTTGAGTTAGGAGGGAATACATGTAGAACTGTTGCATCCGTACGACTTTGTTTTTCCTGCCTATTTGAGAGAGTCCACTTCGGTTCCCTTTCCGAAGGCCGCATTAAGAACTTTCTGCCTTATTTCTTGACGATTTGTATTAGAAATTCAAATTTGGTTAATTTTCGGAATGAAATAATGCGAACCGCTTATTTTTCGTCCGGTATCAAAAGCTTTTTCTGGTAATCTGTGAGCGAAACCAAAGGTTGGGGAACATCACCTGGTCCACATTTTTGGCATTTCAACACATAACATTTTGAATCACATATTTTTAAGTAGTTTTCCTTCTTATTTTTCTGTTTAGGGATAAGAAGAGAAGAGGAGGAGGGCAAGAGGGTTTCGAAAAGGCTATTACCAAATCAGATTCGGTCCCTCACAGGTAAAACAGGGCTGATATACCATTTAACTGTGCTAGTATACTACTCAAATTCGTTTTCATTCGTTTCGCTATTTTCCTCCAAAGTTTTGCATTTTTCGGCGGGATTTAACACCTTTTTGACTGAACACAGCGTTCGTTTCACTGAATTGTTTTGTTATTTATTAAATTTATACTATTTATTAGTAATTATCATGTCTTGTTATCAAAAGAAGGATTGGTAATGACTCGGTTAAGTTTTTATTTGTCGCAGATTAGTTTCAAAGTTTGCATGTCAGTTTTTACTTCGGAATTCTTGACCATTTTTCAACGTTTTTTTGCATACTTTTTTAAAAAGCCATTCATTACTGTTTAGTACTTCAACAAGCGAAACAACAGCGCAGTGCCGCTGATTTTGATGAACAGCTTCAGTACCGAAAAAGCAATCGACGAGTTCCTGGCGACACGCAGTATCGAGGTGAAAGCCTTCCTACAAAGTAAATGCCCGAGGATATTTGCGAGCACATCAATTCCAGTACCCTTACAAAGGGATGCTGAAAGCGATGAAAGGTAATCAGTTGTGCAAATTTAATTTCGCTTTTTTTTTTTCTCTCAACTGCTTCAGTTTTGATGTGAGATTCGTGTTCAGTGTCTTAAGGCACCTTTTTTGACTAGCACTCTTCATGGGAGCATCCGATGATTGTCTTTCATGAATATTCTGAATTCGTAGAAAGAGAAGTGCCCTTCTTAAGAACTTCGGAAAACCTAATCAGGCATACTTCGACATTTGCATTTTCAGTTGGTATCCTCCGGGCCATGGTAATATTTTCAAATCGATGGATTTTACGGGAGTTTTGGATGAATTAATTGCTCAAGGACGTGATATCTGCTTCATTTCAAACATCGATAATACAGGCGCGACGATTGATTTGCGCATTGCCAAACTGATGGTGGATAGTGATCTAGACTATGTGATGGAATGCACCGACAAAACAGAAGCTGATAAAAAAGTTTTTCTCTTTGTGTGTGTGTGTTTTTAGCACTTGGTGTAGTGGTGCGGGAAAATGAGTTGAGACATGATATGTAGTTCATTTCTTCGACGGAAAAGCTGTGTTCGCAATTTGTTGATTTGTTGCGATGACTAGTGATGCTAATGCGAAACCACGTGGCTAAGGAGTCGGAACCACGTTCATCTCACTTCTGGATTAGCCTTGGATGATAAAGCAAACGTAGCGGTGAAAGCAGTTGCTGCTGGTGAGTGCTCCCAGTCGAATCGCTTTTTAGTGCCTTATGCAGCGCAACGAGTAAACTACGAAAGTTGAATTTTTCACTGCTTGCCTTGTCGAACTTGCGTGACAGACCCTGCATCACCCGAAATCAACTTTTGCTGGTGATCCTGTCGCATGTTTCTTCGGCAGTGCATCATTAGGAATTGGGCAACGCAAAGAGCGATAAAGAAAAGCGCAAGCAATATCAGTATATGTTAACTCCTGTACAAAAATTTCAAATTCATCGCTTTTTCTTAGATTATTGGTAATATCAAGTAAAGAGATAACAAAATTTTTCAGGGTGGCACTTTAATTGAAATAAACGGTCATATTATGCATTTGGAGATGCCGCAAGTGCCCGAGGATCATATCAGTGATTTCTGCTCAACGGATTTGTTCAAGTAACTTTTTAGTTGCAGCAAGTAATGTGAACTTTTTTAAATTGTGCTTGTTTCATTTTCCGGTTTCAGTTCACTGACTATCAAAATCACAGTTAGATTTGCGCTAAAATTAAGCAGCAACTGAGCCAGCCCAGGATGTATGGGAAAACAAAAAAGAGTAAAGTTTTCAGGATTTTCAATACAAATAACATCTGGGTGAATTTGCGAGCCGTAAAAAAGAAACTTGCTACGATGAAAATGGAAATAATCGTCAATAAAAAGGTTTAAATCATTCGTAATTTGGATTAAGGTTCCCGGGTTATCGAAGAGAGGTAGATTTCTTTCTCGGGTTCTTGGTTTCACTTGATCCAGTTCCATACGGGGCAAATCAGGATGTAAAGTGTGAATCAAAACTGCATAAAAAATTATGAAGGATTCAGTTAGTGAGAGCCAAGAAATAGTCATTTTATTGCATAAGTATTATTCCCATATAACAGTAATAATTTTTCATATTTTTGTCGAAGTTGAAACGTCTTTCTTCTCTCTGAGAAAGGGGTACTCCTAAAACTGTCCGGAGTGTTGGTACTTCTGCCAAAGCAACTAAATGATAATCCGTCAATAGTTCCTACTGCGAACCATGCAAGCTGAAGACGGTTTGAATTTCCGAGAATTTGTCATCGAATCATTGGGGGGTTGGTCTCCCATTTGTGAACTCAGATTAGTGGCTTAAACTTGAGAGCAGGGTCGGCTACCGTCACACAGCTAACTCATTTGTTCTATACCAGAGTGTAAATGGAGGTGGTCCGTCAAGACTTGTGCTCGAACCAATACCCTCAATGTAAAAACGTGTTACATAAAGTTGAAGCAAACGCGCCAGGTCTCACGGAGATACCTCGGTGTGTATGGTGGACGAAACTCTGCGCTTTGCGATTATTTATATATATATATATGTATATATATACATATATGTACATATATATGTATATATATGTATATATGCATATATACATATATATATAAAGGTGTGCTGCCTGAGAAGCAGTACGCGGGAATCGTGACTGGTTGGATCTGTTGATATATCTTAATTGTGTGTTTGATGTTAAAGTTTTTTTAAATAAGGTTATATTTGGATCCGCCTGGCTCAGCAGCACAGTTCTGAATTGAAATTATAATGTTTCAACTTCCACTTACTGATAATAGCACAGGATTCATCGTGTTAATCGAAATGAAGTTGCAGACTCTGAGCAGTGGTGAGTTGGTGAATCAGTTGGAAACATCTCTCGGTGGCGCCATAAGAAATTTCGATAAAGTGTTAAGTGAGTACCTGTTCAACGTTTTAGCGCAGAAATTATGTTTAGAAATCTGTGGGAATCCTGCATTTGGCAAGTACAAAGATGTGAAAGGGGCCGCAAGAGGAGAAATGAAATAGCATTTTTCTGCTGTTATTGCTTGGTTTTGCTGCTTAACTAAGCGTGCTTCCTGTGAGCCCAGTTTTTCGCTGGTATAACTTACATAGAATAACTTAGTTTGTGATTAAACGATTGGAAGGCTATTTTAAAGGATTTCGCTAGGTACTGGTCACTTGTTTACTAAAGAATTTAATAACATCAACGTGCAGTCTTAGCAAATAGTGAGAAGCTCGTTGCCACATGATACTATTTTGTTGTTTCTTCACGAATTAAGCTGGATCTGTAAACTGTTTCAGGTATCAAAGTGCCACGGTCTCGTTTCATTCCTGTAAAGAAAACACAGGATCTGTTAATTGTAATGAGCGATATTTATGAAATAAGTGACGACTACTCTCTACAAATGCGCTGTACAGGAACTAAGCATCTCCCTATTGTTGAGCTCTCGGAACATTTTAGCAAAATCTCAGAGTTCCAGAGGCGCTTTCCTGAAATTCCTAGTTTGCGTGAAATGGCTAGTCTGAAGATCATTGGTGACGTGTACTTTGGACGCAATGTAACACTTAAGGTTTGTTTTATTTAAATTTTTCTGTCAAATTTAAAGAATCTGGCAATGCATCATCCCGAAATTTAAAACAGCTTTGAAAGGAAAAGGGAGAGGGTGAATATTTGTTTTAAATTAAAACTGAAAGAATATGGCCGGAATGCAAATTTAGAAAATTCTAACAAATTTAAATGAATTTGAGCAGTAATGAAAAAAATATGGGCAATAATAATTAGCGTGAGTTGTGGTTGTTTTTCGAAAATCTGAAACTCGACTTCTGTTGAGGTGTACCGCAGAGATTCTATAATTTCTTGACTAGATCAGTTTCTTTTTTTATTTTGATTTCCAGATATGTTTAGTCGTAGGCTTATTATTTTTAGCTTTTTTTTCGTGTCAGCCGAGCATAAAATTCTTTTTTTCTCCAATTTATTAACTTGATAATTTCGTGTAGACGTAATTATCCATTTCTACAACTTATTTTTTCCACAGGGTTGCGTCGAAATTATCGTGGATGAGGGACAGCAGTTGACAATTAAAGATGGTGAATGTTTGGAGAACATCAGATTGATTCGAAAATCGAATTCTGAGACGCGACTTGTACAGTTATAGTGTTTTTGGCCAATTCGGTTCATTGCTAAGTGTACAATCCATTTTGAACATTCCCTACTTCCTGAACAAATTATTGAGCACGCTCAACTGAATGCGGCACATGGGGAAATTTTTGTACACACCAAAGTGTAAAGCCGTGAAAATTTTTAGCGGGCAGACTCCCTCTGGATGCAGCTGCGCAAAACATGTGACCGTACCGACTGCCATGGTGCGCATAGCTGTTTATTAAAGCAAATGATGCGTTTTTTTTTTGAAATTTGGAATTCGGCCAATAAAAGTAGAAATTCTGATGTGCTGTTAAGCTTGCAAACAAAACAGAATTCATTTCAGTGGCTTGATCTTGCAGATCATTAAAGCTAGATTCACGCTACTCTCCGTTGGTGTACTATTCACTGCATTGATTGTTTACAAACGAAGCAGTTGCTGTTTACTGGCTATTTGAAACTGTCCATCGCAAAAGTAACTACAAAGCATGTGTGAATGCAACTTCATTAGCAGCAAATATTTGTACGTGATACTCTGCTTACTTCTGTAATGTTACAGAATTAAATTCCTTGGGGCGGCCCAGAATCCAGCTGCCCGGAATATAAGTTTTTTTTTTTCGTTTCGCAATGAAATATGCAAGACTGAAATCTGAGGAAATTTTGTCCTTGTTAAATTAACGGAAATATTACAACTAAAATTGTGAAATGTTTTCTGGAACCATCATGTCCGACTCACTGAAGCTGGATGGAGGCCCAATAAAAGCTTCAATAAAAAAGCACTTTTCATGTACATGAGATCGAAGAAAATGTGCAGAATTGGAATCTAGTCGTAATTTTCGGCTCGTTTCTCGCCAATCCTTCGCATCGAACGGCTGTTGTCAAATGGTAGAAGGCATTGGACAGGTGAAAAGAAGCAGTTCCGCAAGCTGTTCTTACTTCGACGCTTTACTACATATTCCAAGTCATCAACTGGTAACGATGGATAATATCCAAACGTTCTGTAACAAATTAAGTTGTACTAGCAGTTAGCACTTATTTTTCATGAATAAAATCATTTTTGAAAAAACTGCTTGTTAGCTAACTCAGATAAAAATGTTCAAACATTGAGCTGTGGCATTTGAATCAGAAGGAATTGATACATGAAATCATAAAGACCGCACGATCGCTCTGTCAGTGCACAGTTCTCTATGTTACGCAGATGCAGCAATATATCGAGAACAGCTATTTCAGGGCCTCTTCTAGTTTGTCTTGTTATCAACCGCAATATTAACAAACTGCTATCAGCTGCATCAGTAACACACGCAAAACACCTTTCTAGAGCCCGGTCGAATGGCTGTTTTTTCTCTTGCGGATGCCACTTACTGTTTTGTAAAATGGAAACTAAAATTGCTGCTTTCAGCGTAATAAATAAATTGCGACGCGCACTGGAGCAGCCGGTGCGATCATGCGTTTTGCGCAGTTCCGTCCAGTGGATGTTTGCTTACTAAAAATATAACTGTTTTACACTTTCATACGTGGAAAAATAGTAGATATGCTGTCTGGCTCCTAAGGTGAGGAATTTTCCACTGAAAATTTCAGGTGCCGATACGGGAAAGCTGAATTTGAAAACATGGATGAGGAACATCCCTCCAAATTTCAACGATGTAGTTTTTCGGCTTCCGAGCTAGTGACTTTCACATCAAGATTCTCACGTGGTCATACGTAAGGCCTCTGCATACTTGGCAGTTAAACTTGAGTCTGTGAGATACCTGCACAGGCAGAAATCATTCTCCTCTAATTTCAGCTCCTTAGCTTTTATAGCTCCCGACATAATTTTCCGTCAAAACTTTCACAGGGTCGTACGTGATACCCAAACGCACGGGGAAACTGGATTTAAATTTTCTGATTCGTACTGGGCAGAGGGCATATCCGCGAAATTTCAGTATGCTAGATTTCCTGGTTCCTGAGATAATGATTTTCCCACCAAAACTTTTACGAGGCCTACGTGTTGCCTGCGGGAATGGGAAGGTTGAATTTAAATTTTCTGGATCGCACGCGAGCAGAGAATGTACCTATAAACTTTCAGCTTCCTAGTTTCCCAGGTTTCTGAGATTTTACCTGCCAAAACCCTCACGAGGCCGTACTTGTTATCTGCGGGTATGGAAAGGCTGATTTTAAATTTGCGGGGTCACACGTTGGTGGGGAACAAATTTCAGCCGCCTAACTTTTGTGGTTTTCGAGTTGAAAGTGCGAGACAAAACGCGCGCGCACACACACGCACACACACACAGATAACTCCGTGACAATGTGCGTTTTGTACTGCTATTACACAGCACAAAACGCATAAAAATGTTTACACCGTCCTAACAGTCAGTGTGGGACCTATATTAATTACTGCGATGCTCCCAAACGCCTTGCGAAACTATTTCGAGCTCTTCTTCCTGAGCTGCAAATCTCCTATCAGTGCTTTCTGTGCTACTTTTCCCTCCCCTCCTCCTTTTTCTTCCGCTCCGCCGTGGGCGTTTATTTTCTATTGGATACTACATCACTGATATGCGTGGCCCACCGGTTATCGACAAGGTACATCACATGCCTGTCCCGTAGACTTTATTTTCTCTCGTGGCTGCAGTGCAGTTTATCTGCCGAAGTGTCTGATAGTTTATGCGGCCGCGAAATAAAACTTAGTGATGCTTCGCATAGAGAGGTTGTCTGTGTGTGAATAAGTGCAGCCGTGCTTGCTAAATTAATTCGGTAACCAGAATGGGCAGCAAGTAGTATTTTCACGTGTTTTTGCATATATACAAATGCAACCCAGGCCCTTGCGATCATGCGTTTTTCCACAAGACTTGAAGTACTCAGGCCATTAACTGCATGATTGGTTGTTGCTTTACACCTATCTTTTGCAGTCACTAGCATAAATCACCATAAATTTTGCATAAAGTAAATGTACAGTTTCCACTTAACTTTCATTCTTTAAAAGTAACCTAGCTGTTCAGTGAGAAATTTTTTCGCCAAATCTTTCACGTGCTCGTATGTAAGAACCACTCATGCCTGAAGGTTGGATTTGAAATATTTAAGCTGTACCTGAACAGGAGACATTCTCCCAAAATTTCAGATTCCTAGCTTTCCTGGTTCCGGAGTTAGCAATTTTCCCGCCTACCACGCACACCTAGAGGCTGAATTTGAAATCTTTAGCCAATACATGCACAGAGAACACCCCTACAAAGCTCCAGCCCCTTACCTTGTCTGGTTCCGAGGCCGCTTTCCCGCCATAAAATTTGCATATTTTTTCAAAACATCCGTACGAGGCATTCAGGCGCCTGCAGCGGATGGTATTAACCCAGGCCGGGGGTTAATACCATCCGCTGCAGGCGCCAGGCCGGAACGCACCAGGCGAGCCGGTGCGATCATGCGTTTTTGCACCAAACTTGAAGTAATTA